TCTGAGAACAACACAGCACACCGCACTGCCTACGAAACCCATGGCACTGCCATCCTACTGGGTGCGAGTTCTCTGCCATCTCCTTCCTCAACCGCCATCGACACAACTGAAATTGTAACTCAACAGAGAAAAAAAACACCACGGTTGTGCGGGTATTTTAAATAAGAATGAAGCTAATGCAGTAGTTCTCATCATACGCACCACGTTTGCACTCTAGAAGACCTAGAACAGCCGTAGGGTAGCTTCAAATCATCACAGCACATCCCGAGTCACCTTCAGCTGGCTGAAGCACCCCGTCCTTCCCCAGAAGGAACAGCCCCAGCAGACTCCCAGGCCCTCACCATCTCCCTGACGTTGGTGTCGGGCCCGCGCTGCTGAGCGCAGAGCTCGAGCTGAATCATCCCACAAGCATTCTGGTGCTGCTCATTTTTCAGACAGTTCAGCTCCCTTACCCGACTGACCGCACACTTGGATGGGCGCATAAAGGATGCGGCAGAATTGGACGGCTTTCAGCAACGGCACGCAATTAGATCAGCGACACTCACATGGAACTGGAACATGAAAAAACAATTACCCCGGTGTCAAATGATGCACCGTGGCTTGTTCATGTGCCGAGGCCCTAATAAAAATGTTTCAAAGCCTATAAACAATTTGCTCCCCCAACTCGGCACCGGCGATCTACTGACTCCTCAGTTTTCATCCCCTCTCACGAGAAACCCCCAGTCCTTCAAAATTAAAGGAAAAGCAGCGCTTCGCTCGATTTTCACAACTGATAGAAGAAAAAACATCCCTACCTGCAGAGTCCTGCCACCATCCTGCTGCTGTGTCACCTGCAAACAGACTCCTAAGGACACAGCTGTCAGAAAGCCTCTGTCCCAACACAAACTGTAATAGCAACCATACAAACACTCAGCTGGCATGCTGAAAGTAACAGCCTATGGCCTCTGAGCAAGAATCGGACAGCTTCACCCCCAAATGCTGACTGCAGGAAAAAATACAGAACCATCTGAGTTGAAAGAAAGCCACTTCAGAATACAAAACATAGCAGAATGGCTTTTCTGAATTCATGTATTTTCTTGTAGCATTACAAGCCTGCAACAGCATTAGCTTGTAAGGAAACAAAGTTTTCTTTTGCTGACCAAAGAGAAAAATCAAAGTAATTTACAAGGTTAAAATTTTAACAAGTTTAACATCATTTGCATCAATTGAGCTACAGCAATAAAATATTGAAGACTGTGAATTTCAGTCTAGTATTAAAAAGTCACATCTAGTAAGATTTCCTAAGTAAATGTTTTCACAAAGGAGACAAAACCAGAAGCATCATCCGTTGAGAAATACACGCTCTGCAAGATCCACATAAATACATCTGTAATAAGTAGCATCAGTTTGCAAATAATAAAACAGGAACTGGGGCTTAAATCCCATCAGCTGTTGCACAGAGCCTTTATGCCCCTCTAGAGCAAAAGGCTTTACAGCACTACATTCAGTGGTATTTTTGATTCTTAGCTTTTCTCGGACCCCTCTGTAGAGTTCAGTGCAAGTTCAGGGTACCCGAGGGTAACATCAACACATGACAAAGACTGCTTCCTTCAGAAACAAGGATCAGCATCTTAAAGGTAGGTATTAAAAAAGAAACAGAGGTTCAAACAAACCAACAGCAGCCTCTCGCTTCAGCTAACGATTCTCAGGTCAGAGACCAACAAGCTTTTTTTAATGAAACAGGACATCCTGAGAACCACTTCTTTGTATCAAGTGTAACCGACACCCTGCAAATACGCTTTTGCACCTGAAATGTCAAGAGATACAAAGTTCACACAACTTCCACAAGGGAAGCTAAAGCAAACACAAGGAAGGACAGTATCAAACGCAAAGTAACCAACTTCTTTTTCTCCCCTCTTCCACTCCAAGGTCGGACAGAGCAGAACAGGAAGACTTCCTGATCGGTGCTGAACGCTAGAAGAAAGCTTTCTTAGGAATAAAGGAGCAGGAAAGGAGAAAGGATCTAGTCACTACCATATCTTCAAACATACATACTCACACTCGAGGCCAAATTGTAAGACATACACCTGACATCCTTATATACTTACTCTGACTAAATTAGGTATTTACCTACATTCCAGCAAACAAAAAATGCTTCGAAACAAGAGTCCGAATAAACTCATTTCTCCTTAAGATTTCTTAGCTCAACCTTTCAATTTTCTTCCTCGCTTTCTCTGTCCACATGTCTCTTACGTGCTGATGATACAAAAGAATCTCAAACCCATCCCACACCAAAGCTGCACCTCCAATCTTTGAAAGATGAAACACCTTAAGAGAAAAGTTCGTATCAAGTTTACCAAGTCATGTGCGATTGTTACTTGAAATGGATAACACGTTCTTAAAAAAATAATAATAATAATTTTAAAATCTTTGTTAATAGTTTAAGAAATCATGCAGAAATATCAACACTTTAAAATTCCTGGTAGAGTTTCTTTATTATCTTTAATCTCAAGAAAATGGGAAAGTATTACCATGCAGGAACACTTTTTCAACAGGACAATTGCTATCAGTGTTTTGACACCCACGTGTGTTACAAAGCACTGGCAAACCCACTTCATGGTTTAGAAAAAGAAAACCACAGCACAATATATAAACTGTTCCAAGTGCAGTCAGTGCCCACGATTCATGTTGTGGCATTCACCTACATGTGTCTAGAACAACGCACATGTGAGCAGGGCTTATTGGCCGGGATGGGGACTGTTCTCTTCCCTGTGGTGTGAGCTCAAAATCATCCACACTTCAGTGCTGAGCTCAGAGCCACCGCACGCAGCCTGGAGAGAAGCTCTGCTGGGACAGGCAGGGTTCAGCCTCCTAGGTGTATGTCATTTGCAGGTAGAGGATGAATTAGAACGTGGTACAGAAAACAACACGGGCAACAAGTTGCTAACAGGCACGTGTCAGACACCTTAAGTTCAGTTTCTCAACTAGCACAGCTCACAGTGTGCTAGAAAACAGAGATGGATGGATGGATGGGTTCAGGCCCACCATTGCTAGCAAGAATTACACCACTGCAAGGCAGCACCTTTGCTACCACAGACCCTCACCTGTTATGAAAGCACACAGTAAGAAGAAAAAAAAGGATTTAAAACAAAACAAAACAAAAAAACAAGTAACCCAACAGCAAAACAGCTTGCATCTGCTCTAAGAACCCGGCAGCTCACCACTGCCGCACACAGCAGGCCCTGCACCTCGGAACCACGGGCACCGCGCACGGAGAGGCCCGGGCCGATCGCCGCCGCGGCTCGGAGCCATTGTGCGTCCGCGCGGTGCCCGCGGGCGCGGGGCGCGCCGCCGCCTGCTGGCGGCACTGCTGGCGACGCTGCTGGCGGCCCCGGCCGCGCGCCTCGCTTGGCCCCGCCCCTCGGCGCGCCCCCGTGACGCGCCGCGCCGCGCTGCGTGCCCGCACGGCGCCTCCGCGTCTCGCGCAGTGCGGCCGCGCGCTGCGCCCCTCGGCCGCGTCAGAGCCGTGAGGGGAGAAAGGGGCGCGGGGGGATCGGCGCGACAGAAGCGAGTAAATGCAGTAATAAAAAAATCTGGAGGGGAAGGAGAAAAAAAAAATAATAAGGAAACACCTTCGGATTTTTTTTTTCAAGTTGCTTTTTTTTTTTTTTTTTTTTTTTTTTTCCCCCCCTCCTTCTTTTTGCGGGAAATTCAATTTTTCTCGGACAGGCAGCTCAGGGAGGGGAGAAAAATAAAAGGGAGAAGCAGCGAAGCCCCGCACGCGGCGGGCGGCCGCGGCCCGGCGGTGCCTTACCAGGTTCTGGTAGCTGCGCGGGTGCTCCTTGCCCGTCCAGTCCGTGCGCTTGGGCAGCAGCTGCGGGGGGAGCGGAGAGCGGAGAGCGTGAGCGGGGCCGGGCCGGGGGCGGGAGGCAGAGGGAGGGGGCGGGGGGGCCGCGGGCGGGGCGGGCCGCGCTTACCTCTTTCTCCGCCACTTCTCGGATCAGGACCTGCGGCAGCAACAAAAGGGGGTCGGGGGACAGGGAAGGGGGAAACAGAGACAAAAATTAGGAAGGAGGACAGAGGGGCGGTGGGCGCGCGCCGCTCCCCCCCCCCTCCTTCTCCTCCTCCTTCCCCGGCCAGGCCCGGCGCCATCCGCCCGCCCGCCCGTCCGCCCGCGCGTCCCTACCTGAGCCGCTTGCTGGCAGGGCCCGTCCTCCAGAAAGCGGGCGATGAGGAAGTAGAGCTCTGCGGGGAGAGGGCAGGGTGAGGGCTGCGGCTCCCGGCCCCGCCACCCGCCCGCCCGCCCTTTCTTCCCCCTCCCGCCCGGCACTCACCCGCTCGCAGCTCCGCCGTGTGCCTGCCGCCGCCGTCCCCGGACATGGCGAGGGGAAAGCGGGAGGTGCGGGGGGGCCGCGCCCGTCACCGCCGGCTCCGCGGGCAGCGCCTCGGTTCCGGCATTCGCCCCGCGGGCAGCGCGGCGGCGGGAGGAGGAAACAACAACTCGCGGCCGCCCGCAACGCCGCCGCCACCGCCAGCCGCCGCCAGCGCGATCCCTCCGCCCGGAGAAAGAGTCCCTTCCTCCTCCGCTCCGCGCCCCCCGCCTCAGCCCCGCCGCCCGCAGCGCAGCGCCCCTCCCCCCGCGTCCCTGGACGCAGCTGCCGCCGCCCGGTCGGGGAAGGAGGGCGGGCGGCCCGCGGCTCCCGCCCCGCCGCGCCGACACCGAAGGGAGCGCTTTGACTGGCGGGCCGGTCGGCTCGCGCGGGGAGAAGATGTCGGAGCGGCGGAGGCGGGGCGGGCGGGAAGGCGGCGGGCGGGATGAGGCCGCTTTCTCTGCGCCGAGCGGGCGGGCGGCCGGAGCGCGGAGGGATACAGCGCGCGGCGGTGGGAGGCGGGGCCGCGCGGGCAGCGGGAGCCGGGAAGTGGCCGAGCGGAGTGGCGCAGCGCGGAGCGGAGCGGGCAGGGCGCCCCCGGGCAGCGCGGCCCCGGTGGGGGGCGGGCGGCATCGCGACCCTCCTCCTTCTTCTCCCTGCTGCCGCTGCCCGCGGGCTCCCCGCGAGGCGTCGGAGCGCGTAAGCGACGCGGTGCTGCCGTTCCTGGTGCTGCTTTTAGGACAAAAAAAAAAAAAAAAAAAAAATCGCTTTTTAATTTTTTTTTCTTTCTTTCTTTCTTGCTTTTGTTTTATTTTATTTTATTTTTCCCTAATCGTTGCCCTCCTCGCACAAAAGCGCCGCCAGAGCGATCGTGGCGCCTTGGTTCGCCGCTCTGTAAGGTAACTGCCGGCCGTGCGGAGCCGCCGCGGGGCTGCGGGCTGCGGGCACGCGTGGGCCAAAGCGGGGCGAAAGCGGTACAGATAAATCAAGGCCTGGCCGTGGTCACCCTCTATTTAAAAAGGCTAAATAAATGCAAATGGACGAAGATCGTAATCCCAGCCCGGTAAGTAGGGCTGTCGCGAAGCGCAGCCATCCGCGGTGATGGTTTCGCGGCGCGCCGGGCCCGAGCCGCGGCCCCGCCTGCCTGCCTCCGTGCCCGGGGCTGCCGGGCCGGCCCAGAGCGCGCTCTGATCGCTGTGTCCGGAGCTGCCCTCGTTTCGTGCGTCTCAAAATGTCCGCGTCTCCCCTTTTGTAACAGTCCCCGTTCTGTCTTTAGGCTCCTCTTTAAATAAACGCTTCGGCCGAATCGAAATGGCAAAATTAGATCTTCCGGCGTCTAATAAAGGCTGATGAAATGAAGTGACTCGAGTCGTTCTTAGCGCTGTACAACGCGTGTGGTAACGTCTCTCGGAGGTGGCTCTCACAACAAAGGGCTGCGTGAATGCTGCGATTAACGTTTTAATTTCCACTGATGTTTACATATAGGAAAGCAGACTTATGTACAGCATCAACTACGCGACGAGGAAGAGGGGATTTGTAACAGTTAAAAGAGTCTGAAAGCAGATGAAAACTGCTGTGGATATACTGAGCTTGGTCGTTCTGCAGCGGCTCGTAACTTTCCGTGATGTGTTTCAAAATACAGCCACAGAATTGAAATGTTTTGATGCTAAAATAAAGGTTTTGTCTCTGATCTAATATTTTAGAGGGTCTCCCAAAATGGAATCCCAGTCCCTGACTCAGGCCTGACCAACAGCAGTCCTCCAGACGGCACCTAATGAGAGCTCTCACAAACGCACATCCTGCTTCTTCTTACCGATGAGATCTGATTTTTTCCTTGCTTATTTGTGGCTTAACGTGAAGCCCCGCTAGCCACAAGAGAAGATGCAGGGTTGTAGCTGTTTGGTGAGACGTGCTGAGGCCGGTTGTAAGAATTCCTGCAGCAGCAATAAATACTGCATTAATTTGGGGGGGATTCATGGGATTTTTATTTTTTTGCTGTTTTTTTACTGTTGCAGTTCAGTCTTTTTTGCAGTTTTGCTTTTGTTACATGGAGAAAAATACCCCCGACTCTGATTTTTGTGGTCTCAAGTGTTGTGCTTTCAAATAATTCCCCCTCCTTCGTGTGATCTTGTCACCTTGCATTATCCTTATGTACAAACGCACCACTGCTGTTTTATCACAGAGATTTAATGTTTTTTAACAAGACGTTTTCACTCTGAAATATCTCTATTTAGGGAAAAAAAAAAAAAAAAAAAAAAAAAAAGGAATTCTTTATTTGGGTATAATAATCGTTTGAGTAAAAAATGAAAATCTCAGATTTTTTTAATCTGGTAATTCAGTTGTTTTAACACTGATCGCACTGTGTATTCTTTTTGCAGATACGAAGAGTGTTACAGCATTTTGTGACTTTCAAATGGGAATATTCACATTCGTTCACTGCAATAATGTTGTTAAAAGAAAGATTACTAGAATTTGCTGCTAATAAAGCTGAGACATAAAACTGAGTCACTTATGAACTGCCCCAAAGGTTTTTACATTTCCTCTACTTGCTGCCGTGGCCTGTTTTCTTCTTTATTTTTTTTTTTATTTTTATTCTCATTGTTTTCCCCTTCTTCAGTAAGTGTAAATATCCTAATACAGGTATGTTAAGAGCGAATGCCCTTCAATTACTCTTTGCTTTTGGGAAACAAGAATGTAGTATCTTTGATTTCTTCTTGATTTTTGTGTTGGGTTTTTTGTTTGTTTGTGTGTTTGTTATTGTTTTTAATTCGTTTTCTTTCCCCATATTAGTTTATCAGTGTAGTTTAATAATGCTGTAACCAGAAAGTGCGCTGCTTGCTGGCTGCAGCTCTCGATGTGAAAGGCTTTCTGTTTCTTGTGAAATCTGGGCTTTTCTTTATAGACAAAGAGAAGTATTTATGGTTTGTAAATCGCCAAGCCGGACAATGTAGCTAAATATTTGAAGCACAATATTGGGGGCTGGGGGTTGAGAGCAACATAAAACATTAACTGAGCTTCCTTAGTCGATTTGTTTTGTTTCATTTCTCCTCCTTTCCTCCCCCTCCCCCCATTGGGAATGATCACCACCAGTTGCTCATCTTTTTGTGAGTGTTGGTTCTTACTCTTGAAGCCAACCATTAATTTTTCAAGGGTGAGAAGACAGGGATGTTACTATGGAGCCAGCCAACTTTGTTTTGTTGTTATTGTGTATGTTCTCCACCTGAGAAAGAGCCGACTGTGCCAAAATACAGTGCCTCCGTGAGTAAATGCCTTCTGCACTTTTAAATAATAACCTACAATTTAACAAAATAGCTTCACATCAAAACGGTATTAAATACTCACTTGTTTATGCCTCGTGCCTGAAATGCATCCTTTCTACGTGCTGTATTGGTGACCTGGCTGAGCCCCACTGCAGAGCTCCTTACTGCAGGTGTAGCTGGTATGACCAGCTCATGCCAGGCACCAAATTCTGAGCCATGTGCTTCAATCCTGCGCCTTCCTCTACATTTTCCAGTGCACCCTTTGGCACAGAATGTAGGTGCCTTCCCGCTCAGCCCCAAATAAGCCACTTCTCCTTTTGTTTTCTTCTCATGATGGTGGAAAGCACCGTAGGATTAGAAATCTATGCTACTCAAAGTACCATCATCATTGGCAAATTCGTGTTTTATAAAAGTATGCAGATCGATTCACCTCTAATATGTTTATTAGTAATCTTCCATAGGCAGAAGAGCTAAAGCCAAGTCATTTATAAAAACGTCGCTGTGGTTTTTTTACGTGACATTTGTGTATAAAAAATAAACAATACGTTATAAATTATACCATCAAGCTTCTCAAGTTAGATCTATCTGCCATTTGTATTTTGACTAGTAAATGAGTCTGACTGAAATTCATTCTCTGCAGCCTGTTGTTACCCAAATACATGTAAATTGCAGCAACTGCGACATTCTTTCAGTTTCATTATTAAATCTCTGAATGGACTCAAAAAAAATCCCTTAGATGGAGGAACTGAGAATCAGACCTATGCAATTCCTACTGAATAAAGGACTTCTACCAGTTTAAGGGTTTTTCTCCTCTTTAGTCATTTAGTCATTTAGTCGTTTAGTTTTTAGTCATTTAGTTTGTCCCCCCCTGTATTTTGTAACAGAGTTTTGAGGAAAGTTACCGAATCGGTTTGACAGTACAATTTCCTATGCTGAATACGCTGCCAAACTATCCGCACAGTTACAACAAAAAGACCGAACTGTTGTACTGAACTGTTGGCCCTTGGGCTGCTCCTCACTGAGAGTTTAGGATCTTTGCCATCTTTGGTTTCATGCCCATATGACATCTCAAAAGTTTTCTCAGAATTTTAAGGCTTATGGTTCGTTTGTTTGTTTGTTTTTTAAGCGAGACTTCCAAAAAACAAATAGACGGGGTGTATTTTAGAGGAGGCGTACTCACAAGCAAATGAGGAGGAGGAGGAAGATGTGTTTACACTGTTGCTTTCTATACTGGCAGTTATTTTCTTAGGTCACTCCTAGAAAACTTTCAAAACCAGTTGCAGTTACTGTACTTGCTAGTGGTATAGCCATGGAACTTCCATAAAGCTAATGCAATGGACTGTTACAGATAAACATCAATGTAATAACTCAACAGATTCTGCCATGCTGTTATCCAATATACGGTCTGATACACTTATAATTACAGGAAAGGCCGAAGGAAAATATTTCAGTGTTTGCAGATATGCACAGTGCAGTTTAGATAAAACCAGAGGAGGCCGTGAGAAACATCTGCCCAGAGAAGAGTGGAAGATCAATGTGAGTAAAATTTTGTGATGTTACATTTAAAATGATCTGTCAGAAGAAGTGAGTCAGTTATGCTCCTCTTGGGCTCCTAAGACAGGCTAAATTTGATATCTGGTCATAAATCTTCTAAAAAGACTGCTCTATTTATTATGTACTCATCGTTGAGAATATGGGATTTTTTTTCCCTAGAACTCTAACATGAAACTGACGGTACACCTTATGTTGGAATTCTGTGTTGACTCTTTCGCCTAATCCCCAAAGAATCATAGTTCAGAGGTGTATGAGGAAAGCAGTTAGGATCAAGAAAAGTATTCTGGGCAATAGAACTAAGTACTGAGGAAGTAGAATCAAAAATGTGAAGGAGGCAAGATATAAGATATATTTTGCTTCAGAATCACCAGGGCAGAGATTTTAGCAGTCCGAAGAGCTGACACTTAGAGGTAGAAATACCCCGTGATAGCAGAATGCAGAAGGAAGGGTCATTAGTGTGATCTACCCCAGCATCACTGCGTTGCTGGCGCTGAGGCTTCATCTCTCCCAAGTCTTTCCTTCAAATGTCGTTTGATTTTCATTTAGAGCTGTGACGTGGTTTTATTTCTATGTTGTAGAAATATCTGCTTTCCCCAAAATAACAGCGATGTAACGTGAGGAGTACCAATATTTGCACTTAGAGTGTAAGACTTCCATGCTGTCAGCATTGAACGGCTTGGTTGGCTGTGCCAACTTGGCACAGTGTGTGTGATCTGTCAGTCATCCACGAAGCACACATCGCTGAGGTCCTGATCCCCACTTACTGCTACACCTTCTGAGAAAATCCTGCGCCGTGGATCCACGTTTCTTAATATTTTGTTCTCTTCTGTGCTCACCTACGTGGGGAAGAATTTGAACTAAACTGGTATTTCCCACACACCCAAGCAGATAAAAACCACACAGCTGCTGTGTGAGGGGCAGGCCACCATTTTGGTGGGGTCCATGTGGTAAGCATGCTCTGGAAACGCTTTTTCTATCGGGTTTGCAAGTAAGACAAGCAGTTCTGTGGCTTCCAAGTGAGAATGGATAGCTGTGGGGACCTGAATATCCTTTCAGGGATCTACAAGTGATGCTACACTCTCTGCTACAGGCATTCTCACTTGGGGTCAGTGTCTCATGTACAGGTGCTCTTGAAGTGTGCTCTGCAACTTTTACACGCTGCAGCTTTTTGCACGTATGGGTTTTATTAAAGCTCAGGCTTCTGAGATGAAATAAAAAAGTAATTGAACTTGATCTTTCAGCATCAAGTTTCACTATTCCTAATTGCTTCTCAGCAGGCCCTTGTAAGAAAAGCACTGAATAATACTAAAACTCAATCAACTAATGTAAAGAAACAAGATGTTTTATGATGACTAGACCGAGCACTTAAAGAAATGCACAGGTATTTCTTTTTAACACACTTCTAATTTTGGAGTTCATTACTGCAGCCATGATAGAAATGCATCTATTTAGTCCAGGTACTGCATTTTTGTATGTGTTTGAAAGTGTCTTCAGAGACAAATGAGCGTGTGAGATTCATCGAGCCTCCTGTGTACATACAAATGG